TGCTATATAAGTGCAGTCCATTTATTTCCTGCTCACATTTCCAGCTGTGATTCAGCGCTACAAGACAGAGACTGCTGGCAGAAAGCTCTCATTCTGGGGCTAGCAGCTTTTCTCATTGTTTGACCTCCTCCAGAGGTTCCATCAGAAAGCTGAATCAGCTATTTTACAGATAGAAAGAAGAGATTCTGTCAGTTTCTCATTGATAAGCTTTGAGAAAAAGTAAAATCAAAGATACTGATTATTATTTAATGTGTTAGTGTACCACACACCATATACAACATTTGCTTAACTTCTAACCTTCCCAGCTCATTTGTGTTCAAGCTCAAAAGAAGTTTATTCTAAGCACATACAGTAGCTTCCGCTGACCCTTCTTGTGTATTTCAGAAAGGTCCAGGATTGCATAAGATAGTTAAGAGAATCCACACCAAGTTTCTCCTTGGCATAATGGTGCTGCAGGATGTCTGCCTGCGGTGAGCCAAATGGAGGTTAATTGGAACCAGTTTGCACCATTGCCATGGTGACCACAGATGTTGCATTCTGATGAAGTGTCCACTTCGGTAGGGTTACTTATTCTGATTTTTGTCTCTCTGCTGCCTTCTTTTTACAGCCTGTCTTGTGTTTTTTTTTTGTTTTTTTTTTATACTATCTTTGTCACCTATTTTATCCAATTTAAAATACTCTTCTCTAGAGCCGCATAGTTTTTTTTTTTTTGGCTTGGTTGTTTTATTTTTTATTTTTTAATAAAGACATACAGGTTTGCGGACTCCTGTAGAAAATGGCATTGTTTAGGGTTAACTGTTTACAGTCTTGAAGCATCTTAACACCCAATAAGTGGCAGAAAATTACATTTCTCAGCCAAGCATAACATAAGATTAGACGGGGCAACATTATCTCGGTGGATTTATCCCCTTCTGATGGAGGTCACACTGGGCTTGACTCCATAGCTGTGTGTTAAAATTATTAAGATGTCTGTTTATATGATAACAAGATGGGAATAATAAAAGAATGTCATATGAATGGCACACCATGCATGAAATATAGCTCTGTAGAGGAACATTTACCTAACACTTTTGTTTTGTCCCTCTTTTCTATCCTGAAAAGTTTTATTTTTCACACTGAGAAAATGGAAAAGGCAATTCTCATTAATGAGAAAAAAGTTATAAGGAAGTACTGACTTGAATTTAGTTTGCAGGATTCCAGAAACTGATTAACAAATTATCCATCCATCCATTTATCCATCCATCCATCCATTATCTTTACCTGCTTCTTCCTTTTTTGGGTTGCTGGGGTCACTGGTGCCCATATCCAGCTATCACTGTGTGAGAGATGGGGGACACCCTGGACAGGTCTCCAGTTCATCACATGGACACCCTGGACAGATCTCCAGTCCATTACAAGGACACCCTGGACAGGTTTCCAGTCCATCACAGGGACACATAGAGACAAACAACCATTCACTCTCTCACTCTCACCTAGGGACAATTTAGAGTTACTAATCAGACTAACATGCATGTTATTGGTCTGTGGGAGGAAACTGGAGTACCTGGAGAAAACCCACGCATGCACGGAGATAACATGCAAATTCCACCCAGGAAGGCCGCGCGCTGGGATTTGAACCGGAGCTACCTGTTAGCTGAGAGGCGGCAGCTCTACCCACTGAGCCACTGGGCTGCCCCAATTCCTAAATTTTTATTTTCGTTATTTTGAACCGTTGCTCAAATGATGATTCTTAAGCAGATGTTTTGTAAGAACTTGTTTTTGCTTTGCTGCTATTGCCACATTTTCCCGATTGAATAACATCCTAATCATGCCATTCTTTTGTACCAGTGTTTTGCCTTTCAGATTGGCTTCAGGGTGAGTAAATGAGCTTACCTCAAAGCTTGTGCGCGTTTGTCCAAGGCTTATTATTGTCATGACACTGAGGATTTGACATTTTCTTTTACTTTATTGCAGCATAGTTACATTCTCTGAAATATGCTAGAATGAGGTCACAAGAGAATTTAATTTTCAAGGCTTCGAATTCTTTAGGCCATGTCACCCACTCATATGAGAACTACTCCACTATTGTGATTGTCAGACAGTTTCCAATGTCAGCTGCCAAATACATTAACATAGATACCTGAACTCCAGCTTGTTAGTTTAAATAGAAAAAGAGAATGATGAATGTACCTGACAGCTCTTCTTGACTGGAAAAATTCCAATTTCCCAAATGGCATCTGTAAGATTTTGACTCGTTAACTGGTTCTAGTGTTTGTGCCTTGTGGTTGTTCATTCTACCTGCCAAGAGCCTTTGGACTGTGTCAGTCCGTTCTGACTGACAACTTTATAGATATTTCTGTACAATGTCAGGAACATCTGTCTACAGCTATGTATTGAGTTCAGTTTCAAACTTTGTTTTTTTGGGGCATCAAGGCACCCATCGGTGTGGTTTTAAAACTCTACCAGGGACAGTGTCTGGTATCTCTTTGAGTCTCTTTTAGGTAAGACATTCCTACCAATGTTCTTGTTGTATCTCAGTGCAATGATAATAAAGTTTATTCTGATTCTGATCCCAATCCCCCACACACATACCACAGGCACAAACACATGCATGTTCACAGACAAAAGAAGTTGTAGTCTGAAATGAGCAATTTTTGAGCTCTAAAATTGAGTTAAAGCTGGAGAAGAGAAGATGTCTACTCTGTGACACAGATGTAAGACCAAAAGGACTTTATTTAGTCCTACTCGGAGCTCCTGGAGCCCATTCTCAACACAAGGACTGTACTTCTATAGCGCCTTTCTATCTAATCAAGAGTCTCAAAGCACTTTACACCACAATCTGTATCCTCATTTACCCATTCATACAGCACTCTACTAGAGACTAATCAGTGCTTTATATCACATTCATACACTGATGGGACACACATCGGAGGCAACGAGGGGTTCAGTGTCTTGCTCAGGGAAACTTCGGCATTTGACTGCTGGTGGACTCAAACCCCCAACTCTCGCATTGGAGAACTCTAGCCACCCTGCCACAGCCGCCTCAAGGTCTGTGCAGAACTTTGTTCTTCTGAGGGTTTGAGAGTTAGGATACGAAGTGACCAGCTTTGTGGAGTTACTGCAGTAAAACCAGACAAAAGCTGTTTTATTCATTCAACCTTTATTTAAACAGATAAATCACACTGAGCCTCAAAGACTCATTTACAAGTGAGACCTGTTTGGACAGACAAAAACAATCACTGTCAAGTTTTGTTTGAAAACAAAATCCATCTTGTTGGTCAGGATGACTTTTTATGGAGATCATTGTCTTCAAATGACCTCTTGTGTTTTAATGTCCTTGTAAAGTTTTTATTAAACGCCTAAACTTCCTGTGGCCTTTCCATTTCTACTCCACTTAACTGAGCCAGATGCATGGAGTTACAATGTTCAAGGAGCTCAATTGTTGAGATGTTGTGCGACCCCTTTTTTAACAAAGTACAATATTTTGCACGTGACCTTTTGTTATTTCTGTTTGTCTAATGTATCTATTACACCTTAACTCGTGCAAGTAGGTATACATTATATTCTCACTGTAGAGTGGACAGAGAGAGCTCTGCACAAGAATTCAAATGTGCCTGGGTTGTTGGTCTGTGCACAAATGGCAAATAAAGAACTTTGTACCTTTGAATATGGAAACAACTTTCAGATTAAATATTTCTACAACCATTTCTACCATTACTGACAAAGCAAACCAGTCTGAAATCAAAAAACTTCTGTATTCTGTTATATTGGTAGACTTTATTCCCAGTACAAGATTATTATACCATAATTTTATATATGCGCTGCGAGTGACAGTCTCACCGTTGGGTGTATGGTGCTTTATGACTGCTGTTGCAGCAGAGGATAATTTTCTACACCTAGTTGTTATGGATGCACCTCGGGAGACTAACGAATGCCAGGGAGGCTGCAGATGATGCTTTTAACCCCACAGGGGGCAAAATATTCCTCTTGTTTTTGTGTTTTTCTATCCTTTGGATGAAGAACTTAAAAAAGCACTCTGTAAATATTAATCGTAGGGATGAAGAAACATGGTGAAAGATTGTTTGATTGATTGTTCTGAAAAAAGGATCCTCTGTGTGTACCTGCTTAAAGAGCCTGACTCATTCACTTGCACCTTGAAATTTTTCCAAAGCTTAGCTTGAAAAGGGTTGTTTCCCTGCCAGGATATCTACCTGGATATTCAAGTCATAACCCCGCTGTTATGTAAGACTCTCTCAGCGATTGACCAGCCCACACCTGTCCTCAGGTGGCCTGACAGCCTGTAATCAGTGTGGAGAGGTGTCGTGACTGCGTGAAATGCAAAACAGCCTGTAAATCTGTCTTCACAGCGCATGCAAGCGCACTCTCGAACTTCTCAAACACACAAATACGCATACAGGTACATCGCTCATTGTGACCTTTTCACTTGCACTTTGAACGAAGAGTACTTAAAGTGTGCGTGACGGGCAAAACAAATTAGATAAATGGGATGTTGGAGGACTGAGGTGCTGCACAGGGTGGGCAGAGCACAATGAGAGGTGTCCAGAAATCCCTGAAAGTACAGCTTTACTGCTTCAGTCCTGTTGCAGTTTTCAAAGCAGAAGCTTCCCCAGGTGCACGCTTACGTCATTAAATCTCAAGGAGAAAAACGTGACCCAATATCTTGCCAGATGTCTTTCATGCTACATGTCTCAAGAGCCACCTCTGCACATCTATCATCCCAAGAAACCTGCTAAAGGCAGCAACAACAAATAATACAATGAGAGCTGTACAATGGAAACCCCCACAGATCTTCTCTGTAACATCAGTGTTCTGACTAAAACCACAAACCTGCTTTTTATTTCTTCCAGTATATTTTTCTGTCTATTGATTTGTTCACCTTATATGTGATTGTCACCATTTATTCTTTTTCATTATTGTCTTTTTTTTTAAATAATTGTTTTTTAAACAGTGTGACCAATAAAACAACTACTTCTGGTATGTCTGGTATTCTGTCTCTGCAGAGGGCTTGGCTGTAGGAGTTGGTTTCGGAGCTGTAGGAAAGACGACTTCTGCCACTTTTGAGAGTGCCAGGTAGGAATAATATCAATACTGGGAACAAGACGTACAGAAATACAACCACGGCCAGGTATTTCTATCCAACGCATTGATTTCCTGTATCTGTCAGTTTGGGTGGTGAACCTGAGAGAAACGGGATGACACGTCCAGCTGGGCTTCATTAGTTAAACAGTTCAGGGTTTTTTTGGAGGTTTAAATTGAAAAAAGTTTGGTATAAAATGCAAACAGTTGTTTCTGGATGAAACATAGAGCATGCTGAATGAAGGGTGTTGTGGTGGTAAAGGTTTTTATTTTTCCAGCTGCAGATAAACAAATCCGCTGGATGCTGTTCCCATCTAGCGGTGAGACCAAGTACTGTTGGTACAAATAAAAGCTCAGCCAGAATCTACTCTCAGCATCAGGTTATTTTATTCATAGTACTATCACTGATGATAATGAACAAGAAACTATCTCCAGACATCATGACCTTCTGTTTAAAAAAAATATACCTGGTTCTAATTTTATATAAGCAGAAATCTCCCTAACGTTACTGACAATCATTTAGTTTAGGTAGGAGTTTTATGTGTGGCTGCAGCTATTTTTATAGACTTTGTTCTTGTAAGATTCACAAGAATACCATCTGGTGGGATTTTGATAGTGTTCTGATTCTGTGTTGTGTTCTGCTGGCATCACATGGTTGGACTGTGGTACTGAAGAGACAATAGTCAGCTGTACTACAGGAGATCCATCTATCCAGCTTTTATCTGAGCCTGTTTGATCCTGTGCAGTGTGGAGCAGGTTACCTCCAGCGGTCCACACAGGTCAGCAGCCAACTGGTAATTTACATCAAAGTAGTGAGGCCACTTATTGTGCTTGTGGTTATCTATAGGCTGACATCTACTGGTTACATCTCACCACAGCAGTGAGAGGTGGGAGCTGTTAGTCTCCTTCTGGAATCAGTGGATTTATGTAATAAATACCTTATGGGACTTACATGTGGGGTGATGGTTGTAGTACTGGTTTGTCAACATGACTGACATTAACTAATCATTCTTTGAAGTTCAAAAATGTAAAAGTCTAAAGTGATCTTAGAAGTTTCTAAGAAACTTTACATCATTTTCCTCAACGTCAATTTCGTTGAATCTCTGCTAAGTATCCTATCAGAGATGTAGGCAAACGGTTGAGTCCTCAGAGTCTCATCAGTGGAGACATTTGATTCAAATATGTATGACGTCTGCTACAGCCTGTTTTATTTTTAGCACCGTGAACAATATTTCACACATATATTCAGTTTTGTGTCTGTCATGTAGGTTTCCTGGCTGGTAAAGGATTATATGATTTAAAAAGTTTTTCCCCCTCTTTCTTCCAAAGTGTTAAAATCTTTGTTTGTACAAATGCCATTCACAGATTTTCAAAATCAAACTTGAAAATTAAATGTTTTTATCTTGATAGTGTAAGTTTGGAACACACACACCTTATTCTGCCCTGAAGACATGAGGAAGTTCCACTTTAGGCACCAGGCATTTGTTGTGGAGAGAAATGCTCTGACTCTTCTTTGTTTGTGTTCCAACAGAAACTTGGCCATTGGAATTGGTATTCAGAACTTTCCAGAAGGCCTGGCAGTGAGCCTACCACTGCAGGGTTCAGGGATCTCAACATGGAAGGCCTTCTGGTAGGTGAACTGTTCCATGTCACTGCTAAACATTCTACAAAGTACAAAGACTTGAGCTGACTCCACTTTTATATCTGGATCTCCTCCTGCAACAGTTAAAGACCATAAAAGTTGCTTTTTAGTTTATGTTGACTGCTTTTTGCTGATTATAAATAAAACCTAATCATCAATTGCACATGGAGTTCCACAAGGGTGATTATGTGGTCCTGTTTTGTTAAATTTGTATTTGCTCCTATTTGATTCTACAATTTGACAAGACAACATATCGTAAATGTTTCTTACACAGTCTTGGAAAGTATGGGATTTTACTTTCATATTTTCCATGTATGGAGTATTATGAAAAAAGTTTTTAGACACTACTGCCGATTGTGTATTCTAAAAATTCAAAGATACATGTTTCTAAACGTATCTCTGCTCTAAAAATTATTGCCAAGTCTTTGTGCAACTTACGCTGCTGTGGTGACGCCTGAAGAAGGGAGAAGCTGAAAGAAGGAAAAATAAATAAATACATTTTGTCTAGTCCCAAAGTTTTAGGCTTAAATAGCAAAAGTGGTGCAAAGACTTGTTGAAATGTAAGAGTCGATTACATCTGTTTTCCTGAAACAATGAAATAAAACAAAACTTTGTTTAAAAGAAAAGATTTATGGCAGGTCATTGTTTATGCTTACAAGATTCATTGTAAGGCCAATGGGAGAAAAAATCCTTTCTACGTCCAATTGTTTGACATCGGCATGCAGACAGAACAGCTTCGCTGATCACAGAACATTACAAGACATCTGAGGGTGGTTTAATATTAAAGGTCTATCAGAAATCAACAGAAACCTTGAGTCTGTAAAAGTCTAAAAAAGTGTCATAACACAGATGTTACAAAGTTGAACACATCTGTTCGGACCAAACACCTTAACCTTCTGACTCATCCAGTGCTTTAATGAAGTCCAACATCTTCTGCTAAAGAAGCTGAATGAGGACAAAGTAGACGCTGTTGGTTGAAACTAAATCTGATACTTGTTGCCTCCTGTGGTTGTTTTATTTGTAGAAACACAACTGAAGTCAGATCCTAACTTTTTTTGTGGTGTCACCTCAGGTACGGTCAGCTCAGCGGGATGGTGGAACCCATCGCTGGCCTGCTGGGAGCTGGCGCCGTTGTCCTGGCAGAGCCTCTGCTGCCGTACGCATTGGCGTTTGCAGCCGGGGCGATGGTGTACGTGGTGGTGGATGACATCATACCTGAGGCACAAGTCAGGTGGGACAGAAGAGGACTCTTCAGTTGTAGCGTCGTGTAAAAGTAAAGTTTGAAAGTCACCTGCTCATGCTTTCTGTTTGGTGTCTCCAGTGGAAATGGCAGACTGGCGTCTTGGACCTCCATCCTGGGCTTCGTTGTGATGATGTCACTGGACGTGGGGCTGGGCTGAGGCAACGGCAGCGATCGTCGTTTAACCTTCAGCAAACCTCAGTTCTTTAAAAAGGGGACCAAACCCAGTGTTTTCTTTTAAAACACTGTTATGCAATTTAAATTGAATTACTGCTACTTGAATATGATCGAAACGAAAAGCACCAAACTGTTTTGTTTTTGTTTGTTTGTTAAAAAAAAAGTTATCAAGATGTTTCTACTTGAACATTTAGGCTGTATTTTCCTGCTACATGTGTCTTTTCTAATAAGCAGCTAAAAAGTCTAAAGTTTTCCTTCAAATGTCTTTTCTTAATCAAAAATATGTTTAAATGGAAAAAATATTATTTTTTTCATTCTAGACTTGGTGAATGTTTGGTGGTCTTTGCTGGGAATTGAGAACTTTGAATGAAATATATATATATATATATATATATATATATATAAATATTTTTTCTGTTTTTAAAAGCTAAATGTTGTTCTTGGACTGGTATTTTGGGACGGACAACAAATGATTTGGAACTAAACTCTTGAATCTTCTTTGTACAGCTGTTTTCATATCTGGGCGGTCTGCTGCCCTCTAGTGGTCAGGCTCATGAACTACATGTTTTTATCAGACATTTCCTTCGTTTTGATTCAACAACATGACAATCTGAAGGTTTCTTTGTAAAAGTTACAAATAATTAACATCCTACCCAACTTTAGAAAGCTTCCCAAACAAACTGAACTTTTAGAAATAGCATTAAAGTACTGACATGACTGGCAAGATAATGGCTAGTCCTGGGGTGGCCACACTTTTTCATATGCGGGCCAAAACTGTCGAGATAAAAGCACTCACAAGCCCGATTTTTTTTTAAGTGTACTTAATACTTGTGAGGTATTTATTGCTTTTTGATTTTTAAATTAAAAAAATGTGAACATTTTGGAGAGAGGACAAAAAAAACTATTTTGGTGGCAAAAGAGCTTTAAAAAAAACATTTACAACGCCATAAATATTTAAACCTATATTTTAAAATTACAATTTTAATCCAGGTCTCATACTAATCTTTTTTTTTTTTTTTTTTTGTGCTTGGAAAGTTAATTTTAGTCTATTCTCAGAAACATAGGCATAATTTAAGTAACTCTTCTTTAAAAAGTTCTTTTGGACCCTGGACGGCCCAAAAACTGATCAACCTGTATGCAGATTGTACCAATGTACATGTCCAGTTTCCCTCGATTATTAAATCAACTGCATATTTTTAAACACTTGCTACATTTAGCAAAGTTTTATGAATAAAATGGAATAAAAAGAAAAAGACAACTAATAATAATAATAGGGTTAATTATAACCAAAGGTTTGTATTGTAATTAATATTGCTCCTCTTGGGAATATTTTGCGGGCCAAAATGATACTGTTGTTTAAAATGCAGTCGTGGGCCGCACAGAATCCCTCCAAGGGCTGCAAACGGCCCTCGAGCCGCACTTTGGACACCCCTGGGCTAGTCAAAGTTTAGACCAAGTCTCCCTTGAAAAAAGTTTTTAATCTCAATGTTTTTTTTATCCTGCTAAAATAACGGTAAAAAAAAAAAGACCAAAGCTGATCCTTGTCTTCTTAAAGCACCTCCAGAGTTCAACATATTGAAGTGGTTTATTCCATTTAACATTAGGAGTTTTTATGTTGGGAAATATATAACATTTGTGCCGGGCATGAAGACTCAGGTAGCGCTACGTGTTGCTACACCTGCTGATTTTTGCGCTTCTAATTAATTAACCATTTAATGCAAAATGAGTAGCAGCGCAGAGGTTTGATAAACAACTCCCATGAATGACGATCGTTCGATCTGTTTTAGTCCAGGCCGAGTCCGGACTAGCCGTTAGCTCATCAGTCCTGTCAGTTCTTCAAACTGAGGCTGCTCAAAAAACTGCCCACAACAAATCCAATGTTATCGCCCGCTGCAGAAACCAACAGGACAAGAATGTTTTTCGCCCGTTACGTTAGCTAAATATCTCATGAAACACTGGAAAGATTTTAATGGTCGACAATATTCAAGATGGCGGCCACAGCTAATTGACGCATTTATAACGTAGCCAATCAAATTTATAAAATGAGCATTTTGATGGGGTAGTAGCTGAGAGCGCTACCCCTCGACAAGTGCTACAAGCAGGTTTTTAATTTAATATTTATATCTTTACCACCGGAGGCCAGTTCAAAATGACTGAACTTTTGATGAAGCTGTCAATAATTATTTGTCACTAAACAACAAAAGATTTCCAGAAGCTCAGGCATCTCTGTTCATCTGCTGCTTTCCGATCACAGCACTGACAACATCCTGCAAAACCTCCATACTTGAAGTGGTTTTATTTGATTATTTAAGGGACGTGTTCCCTTAAAGCTTTGTAGAGGAGCTGTAAATGAGCCTGAATGAAAACGTTACCTTGTTCTAAAGATTTATGGGTCAATAAACACAGGAAACAGAGGAACATGTTCAAGGTTTAATTTTATGGGAGGACAAACAGGCTAAAATGTGGTGAAATGCTCCAGCTGAAACAAAAAGTAATGAAAAAAGACTAGGGATGCACGATATTATCGGCATGGTATGGGTACCATCCGATATTAGCGATAAAGTTAAATATCGGACAACAGCCATTTCATCAAAATAACTTATCAATATAAAAAAACGCTGTTATGCCGTTTATACACACACACATTATATATATATATATATATATATATATATATATATATATATATATATATATATATATATATATATAT